TCCAACAAACTTTTTCAAAATGGCTTGCTACAAGAAGTTCACATTTCAAGACTTTGCACCTGAACATTAAAATTTGCATTCAGCGAAAGTCGCTCATCGCTCCTCACGCTTTATTAACATTTTATGGGCATCGAATATTAATTCTTAGAAGGAGTACGTGGTTGCTCGATATATCCAAATATGGCAACTACAACTTCAAAAATTCAATGGGAAAATTTTATCAATTAATTTTTAGTAAATTATAAACTATGACTATGCAATGATTCTTAACGAACGTACAATTTTACTATAGAAAGATCAGTATTATTACAAAACAATGACATTCGATTTAGAAGAAAAATGGACTATAGAAAAAGTAAAGTCACTTTAAAGACCACCTTTCGATTTGAAAGGTTGCAAATTTGTGTCATTGGTTGACTTTTGAAAATGCAATCAATACGGTTCCTTAACCTCCACCATTTTTTGGAGATTATGTTAAAATCGAGAACTACTTAATTGAGTTTATAGTTTATTGTCAAGAACATTTTTAATTTATCATAAAAGCAAATATAAAATATGGATGCTTAAAATATAATAAGTATAAAGGGAAGATAATACACGTATAAAAAGGTGCATCAACTTTCTGCTCGTAAGTTGATTCTTTAATTTCGTATTCTGCCTTCCCATTATTGTATTAAGTAGTGTAAAGTACAAGTACAAGTACTATAAAAAGGTACTTCCAGTAACAAGTACAAGAGGTGTATAAATAATTTTTGCTCCAAGTAATAAGTGTCAACTATTTTTAAAAAGTACTAGGAATAATCAGTAATTTTACTCGAAAGTAAGTAAATAAGTACTTTGAGTACTTTAAAACTGCCAGTACATAATTTACTTAAAGTAAATGAATGTATTGAATGAATAAGGTAAACAAACTTTATATTTTGTTGCACCGCATTAGCAAGCTATTGTTTGAAACTGTGTGAGGTAAGGGAAACACACTATTCAAATAGGCATTGGCGCAAACTTTAAACCAATATTGTAGCGATTGAAGTTTGTTTGCGATTAACTGTAAAAGCGACGGGAAACGACGAGAATGCATGAAAGGAAACACTGGAAAGGAACATATAAACAACAAAAAAAGCTGAGTGGTTTGATAACTAACAATGGGAACGAAGCACATAGAATGTATATCGCGAAAAAAACCAGAAAAAGAAAAGAAATCTTTAAAGAGAAGTATCGCAAAGCACGTAACATATATTATGTAGATAGAAGAAGAGAAAATATGAAAACGACCAGGTACCTCAAATAGAAGGAAGCATTAAAAGAAACAATATTAGAGATACGGTCTCTACAAATATTTTAAGCAAATCAGACAAGGGTATGTGGTATGTATCCCCTTGTCTGATACGTATGCAGAAAGAAAGAAACCTCACATTCAAGAACTTTTAAATGCCAGAATGCGAGAGCGACGAATTGTGTACGAATGAAACGAGGAACACGTGGATGAAAATGAAACTGAAGAGGAGGCCACGGCACCTACAATAGTTACAAAAGTAAGAGCCGCAATCGAAGCCCTAAGAAACAACAATGCCCCAGAAATCGATGACATTCCTGTTGAAATTTTCACATACTGAGTCGAAGGGCTAGTCTCCTGTCTCCACCTACTACTCACGAAAATATGCAAAGAAGAATGGATCCTCTCCCAGGGAGAGGGCGAAAAATATCATTTGTCCAATGAACAAGAAAGGGACAATTAGTCTGCTCAAATTACCGTGAAATATTACTGCTATGCACTGGATACAAGATACTGCCTGCATCATAAACAAAAGGATCAAACCCATAACCGAAAACATAATTGCCTGGTATTCCTCGATTAGTTTTAGAGTTGGATTTAATTGTACTACATTAATTGGGAATACCGGCAAAGATGGTAAAGCTTACCAAAGCGACGATGATGGACTCCAAAGTACTGTTCCGTATACAAGGATAACTCACCGGACCATATAAGTATTCACAGGTAGTAAACAAAGAGATGGCTCGGCACCGACCTTCTTTAATCTGGCTTTAGAATACATAATAAGGAAATCAGATACTTACATAATGGGACGATCATTAACGGTAGTACGAGAAACATTTACAACAATAACCAGTGAGTGGTTTGATAACGAATGTAGACTAGCAGGTAACAGTAGGAACCTCACTAAAAGAAAGTATGAAAACTATAGGAATGGAAATGGTAACGTAAGCAAAAGCTAATACAGTCAAGAGATGCTGTAATAACTGATGACAATATCAAACGTGTGGACCTTTTTTTGCTATCTGGGAATGAATCTTACTAGCGATGGAATGGAAGTTTTAGAAGTATTATTATTAGAAGCGTTGTTCCTACTAATTGAGTCTATTTTGCTTTGCTTATGTCTTCAAATCACTGAACATGTACAAGAACACAAAAATATGTACGAAACAATAATTGACACTTTCGACAAAAAAGTATTGAGGCGTATATTGGAGCCAGTACAAGAAAAGGGGATGTATAAAATAAGGTATAATCTTGAAATACACCGAAAACTAAGAGAACCACTAGTATCAGAGTTTGTGAAAAAAATACATAGGCTGCAGTACACAGGGCATATAATATGGATGGGTGAAGATGGTCCACCAGGAACAACAGTTGATAGTAGAATGCAACGAAAACGCCCAGTGGGAATGAAAATGAGAAACTGAAAAAGGATGGCATCGGCGAAGGACAAGTGGATACAGAAATTGAAGAGGCGGAAATTGCCACAGAACTGAGTTTTATGAATTTGAAGGAATCACAGTTAGATATGGAAAACTATATCTGTACCTTAGGGATAAAGGATCGTAACTCCAGTTTTTGTCAATATCGAATTAATTATTATAAAACTTATTATAATAGTATTATAAAACTTTAAACCTTGTTTTCTAAAAAACCTAAAATAATGGAGATACAATCCTTTACCTCTAAGGTATAGCTATCTATGGCTTGAGGGTGAATGGTTCTATGATTATGGAAAATGATTTGATCTGGTTGTGTAATACAAAATGTGAAACAGGTATATATCGCAATATTACTTACTTCTTGAAATTTTTGTTGATTTTCAAAAACTGCTTCCATGGTTAACACTTTGAGTATTAACGATATGCTCTCTTTTTAAATTGTATAAAAAATTGTAACCATGGCAATAATGAAGTTTGATTGCGAGGCTATCAAATATAGATGATGAGCTATCGATTCTATAGTTACATTCTCAATTTGTAGTGATATTCTCAAGGGCCTTTTATACTTTTAGCAAGGTTCCCGTAAAAATTTAGAATGGCTTTAAATTTTGCCTAAATTTTTGCTTAAATTAAGTGTGCAGAACAGAAAAGCCATGTCTTAATTCGACCAAGTAAACTCATCCTTTTTTCTTCTTGCAATCCTGGTTTTCTAGTGGACTGGTGTGGCTTCAGATTGGTTCCACTTTTCATTATTAACGAGAACTTCCTTTGTTTGTAAATTTCAAATGTTCTTCAGACTTTTTGCTAATTCTGTGTTCGTTTTATGTTACCAGCCTATTTTTCAAAAATATAATATAGTTAGGTTTACTTACCATTCTTGATCTGTATACCATCTAGATCAGTTTTTAGTCTTGAAATTCTTCGCCTTTGGGTAGGTCCCTAACCTTGGCTTTCCTTTCTTCAGTTTTTCGTCTCTCTTTCTTGTTTATTCTTCTTTGACGTTTGCCGGGTTTTTAGAGTAACCTTTGAAATATAGAATATTAGATAAGATTACCATCTTTGAGCATTCAAATGATGGATGCTTATCTCCACATTTCACGCATCTGTAGGCAACGTGGCTAAATAGTTGCAATTTTACCATTGTCAATAACTTGTTCCCTTGTTCATTCTTGTTAGTGTTCACCAGAACAAGCGGTAACATCTTGTCATTTCCGCTCATGCTCATCACGGTTTTGAAGTGGAATCCTCTTTCACTCAGATCTTATTCTATTTCCTTCACTTCGATTCCCTCAGGAATTGCTCTTGACACGACCGTCAACTCTTCTTCCTTTTTGTCTCCCAATAGGATTTTGTCAACAAGTAATGAAGCACATTTGCATATTTGTGTGTTGGAACAACCAGAATTTTGATTACTGTATTGCTGATAAGACTCTCAGAAAGTCCATTAACGATTCTTTTACAGTCCAAAAATCGCCGTTTAGCGTACTTAGATGCCTCTTAGTACCAGCAGGTTGCGAAATCTTACTTGATTTGAATCTCTAAGATATATTTTTGTAAGGTTATCTTAGAGCAGATTTTTTAAGTACCGTTCTTGTATCCTAAAAGAGTTCAAGGAGATCATTCGTGAAAAAACCGCTGGGATTTCTTTTGATATATTGGTAAGAGTGAAAAGACACTTTAGCGAACGGAACTTCAAAATTGAGCAGTTTAACTGTTTAAAAACAGCTGCAAGGAACCTTATAGTATCAAATTTCATTAATTAAAAGGTTATGTTCCATGTTATTATGCCGCTACCTGTGTTAATGAACGTGCAAAAGAAATAAACAGCGGTAGATAATTAAAAGATAATAAAAGGATGTATTAGAAAATCAAATTTTATGGTCTTGCATTTTATGTTGCAGTCGAATCTCATATACGAGATTAATCCATCAACTTGTTAATTGTAATTATTTTAGATTTTTACTTTACCGCAAAATATGTAAACATTTATTAACTAACTAAATCTTTTCATATAAAGTTACATTTTAGAGATGAACGATTAACATGTTATTATAAGCCTTCATAATCATGATAAACGTTCAAACGTAAAATTTCAATAAAATTGCGTAACCGGAAGTGGTAGTTTATCTGTGTCAGCTGTATTTGTAAATTCCCTATTTTTTTAAATTAATTCTTCTTCATATATCAATGGACGTTTTGCAAATGTTGTTACTCTATCAGTGTCAAACAAATATACAATAATACTGGATATAAACTGCATTAGTGAATTTTAAATAAATATCCACATTTTCCTTTTTTTTATTTTTTATTTAGAGTACAAAATTGTGGGACACAAAAACAGTAAAGGCACATAAAAAATTTAAATTTAAGGATACAATGGAGAATATTTACAAAAAATAATGTTACACGGATAGAAAGATAAAATATTACAAGAATATTGATATGATATTACAAGAATTAATAGAAATTTATTAGTAGGTGATCAATACCAGATCATAGTTTTGATTATAAGTGACTAGTTAACTATAGCTTAAAATTAAATTTATTTTGAAAAAAAAAACAACACAGAAATTCTAAAATGATTAAAAATTACAAATCACAAGTTTTATATTAAAAAAAATTAATAATTAAACATTAACGTTATTAATTGGCAAATTTGAAGAAGGTGCAGTTCGACGTCTTCTTTGTAAAAAAGCACGCAATCTTGAAGAACATATTATATTTAGATTGGATTCCTAGAAAAGAAAAATAAAAATTAATCTAAATTAAAAAAAATGTTTTAATAATTTATTCTTACATTTTCGAACCATTGATTTTGTAAACAATCCTCCATACTTATTCTTTGTTTCGGTACCAAATTAAGTAATAATTTAATTAAAGCCTTTGCTTTATCTGATACAGTCGTAAAATAATCTTCAGGGAAACAAAAGTCGCATTTTAAAATGTTCGCAGTGGTTTCTTCAACAGAATCGTCTAAAAATGGCGAAACTCCGCTCAACATTACATAAACCAAAACTCCAACGGCCCATAAATCAGTGTGTTTCCCGACTTGTTGCCCCAAAACTAGCTCTGGCGATGCGAATTCTAAACAAGTTGGTGGTAATATTACGTTTTTTGATGTGTTTACACAATCCCCAAAATCTACTAATTTTAATATTGGATGATCGTGGTTTAAATCTACCATTATATTTTCAGGCTAAAATAATAATTAATTAAATTAAAAATAATTTAAAATTATTTAATCTTTATTTACCTTTATATCTAAATGAGCGATATCTTTTTTATGTAACCAAGCTAAAGCAAGAACTAATTGTTTAGAGTATCCACATACTTCCCCTTCTGTATACGAATCATTTTGAACAATATATGAAAATAATAACGGTCCATGCACCCTAAAAAATATAAAAATATTCTTAAAATCTATAAGATTTTTTAATAAATTCATACTAACAATTCTAAAACAATAGTATCAATTCCAGGAACTGGTGCATTATCAAATAAAGCCATGGCATGTACAATATTTGTATGTTGCAACCCAACAAGTAAACTGTATTCAGCTTGGGTAACCTGATGGGATTGTTTTCTTCTAAAAACTTGTTTCAAAGCAACTTCTTGTCCCGTTCCTCTATCTTGAGCTTTCCTAACAATTGCACATCTTCCTCTATTGAGTTCTTCTAATTCAATGTATCTTCGTTTAAATTGTTCTTGTTGCCATCTTAAATTATCAGCAACTGGTAAAGTAACGGCTGCGCTTGGTAGTCCAACTTGTCTACTTGGAAATGTTAATAATCTAAAGCTGTAAGTATCACTTGGTACTAAATGTTCAATGAGAAAATTATGACTTGATATAGGGATGTTGTTATTAGGCGAAATCCATTCTCCACTTCCAACTTTGCAGTATTCGATTAAAAATTGTTTGTGGTTTGAGTTTTCCCATTCTAAAGCGACGCTTGAACAAGATACAATTTGAGTTTTTAATTCGGGGATAATATCTGAATCCAAAACGGTTAAAGTCGCTGAACATTCAGCGTAAATATTATCATTTGACAACGTACAAACATAAACTCCGGAATCTGTTAATTTTGCGTTATTTATTATTAACAAACCTTCCCCATCTTCGTTTTGACTAACAAGAATTCTGCCACTATTTCTTATTATCCAAGAATCGGGTTGGATTTTTTTCCATGTACTATAAACGTTTTTACTCGAAAAACTTGCTTTGTATTTTAGTACGGCTCGTGAACCGACCATCACAGTGATATCTTTTATTTTTTCTATAAATTCGGGGTATTCATTATTCATGTTTTCAGAATAAGAAGTTTCATCGATTGATTTCCTACTATTTTTTCTAAATCTAAACGACCAAGGTTTTCTTGGACTACTCGATAACGTATTATTTTCTGTAATCCAAAATTCATCGCTATTCCTTCGTATTAAATCGGTTTGATTTAAATCGGATCTTTGAGACTCATTTGGATATTCTATTATCTAGAAAAAATTATAATTGTTTTTGTGAAGAAATGAAATGAAAGTGAACGATTTTTTAATAATTTTTATGATAAAATTAATTTTTTGTTAGTTATTGATTTAATTCTTATAATTAAGAAAATTAGTTGTGACTCTTAACATCTTCGCTATGTTATAAGCTTTCTTAATGATGTTATTCCATAAAAAAAGTTGGCTGCAGCGAAAATGTTAATGTTAAGAAGAACCCATTAGTCTTTTGTTCCAGTTAAAAATAATGGGATTTAAGTGTTATTGTAAATTAGTGGTTTTTATGACACACAACAAAGTAAATTGAAGTAAGTGAACTAAATAAATTTAATTCCAAAACCACAATAATCGCTAATTTCTTGGACATGAGGAAACAGACAATTGTGTTTTTTTAAGAATTTTTGTTGGTTGGATTTAAATTCCAAGCTTATATTTCGGCATCATATCAGATTATTGAGATATTGCATTAGATATCTTTGAGAAAAATTAGTAATTTACAAAGTTAACATAATTTCAATCGATAGATAGATGCAATAGTTGCTTAATATACTAAGGTTGCGATGTTTCTCCTTTGACAATTCAGAGTTTCAAGTTAGGGACATGAACGAAGTTTAAAATATACTTCATAAATTTCAGGACATAAGAAGTAGTCTAGAATCGTTTTGCCCAGAACACATACTCCGGTATGAAAAAGTCTAGAATTCTAATACACAGCGAAAATAGCTTAAAGATAGTTTGCTTGAATTCGCGATTTTAAGGCTTCAATAAAAAATATAAGGAATTGCAACAAACATATTCTAGAATCCATGAAAAACTTTGGAATTACATTGTATATTATGTATTCCATGTCCAAAGTCTATAAGTATTTCTAGAAATCTTTAGAAGATTTTTTTAAAGAGAGTCTGTCAGACGTTTGAATTTACATTTCCCAAATCCCAGATTTCAGACTTCAAGAAGAAATCTGTAAACACATTACACAAATCATATAGAGGATGAATTAGATTAGAATTATACGAGATGGATTCCGAATTACGTCGCATAGATTTCAAAATCCAAGAAGATACCTGGAAATACACTGCATAAATCACCTGTTTTAGACCTTAAGAAAATTTAAATATATCACAATATAAGTTATTTACTAAGAGTCTGTAAAATTTCTTTTGCGCATTTCGGTGGATTATTTTAAGCAAAGATATAAAAAACTTTACAAAAACTTTCATGTCAACATTAATAAACAATTTTAATTCAGAGATAAACTCAAAGCTAATAGGAATGAGAGCATACCCTTTTTGAATCAGAGCTAAAAGATGAAGAACCACTATTCCGATTAAGTTTATTTACCCCTGCTAAATCAGGTAGTATCATCAGCATCTAATTTATGTAGTGCATAGAAGTACGCATCTCTATCTACATATAGACATCACATTATTTGAAAAAAACTGATTTTAAATCATGTTAGCTGAGCGAGATATTTAATGTGCACACTCTATGACAGTTGTTAGAACGTTCTGTAAATTTAGAAAAGACGACCTTCTCATCGAAGAAAAGCTTTGAGGTGTTACCGCATGGGAATATATGATGAGTATATATGATGAATATATGTTGAGATGATTCTCAACCTACACACATTAATTTGGGGATTTCCTCCCCATGACGAATAATGACTAATAAGCGAAAAAATTTGTAGTAAAAGATTTTCTGGTTCATAGATACCAGTGATATTTACTTACAAATCAAGAATACGTAGAACATATTAAAATAACATCACAGCAAGTGTTCGAAGTTATTTCCCATATTTTCTATCAATTGGGCTCCATGAAACCACGATCTCCTACTAGCACAGCCTAAACCAGGGTGCTGGCAGATTTTCTGGGCAGCAGCATGTGCCTGATTTTGCAATATTTGCTCAGTATTAACTTCTGTGACGTACACTATGCTTTTTAAGTGACCAGAAAAGTAAAAATCAAGAGGATTGAGGCCGGGTCATTGGACCATCTCGACCTATTCGCCGATTATATCGGATATCTAGAAAATTAAAAAACGTTTACTACAATTTTTTTCATCTATAAGTCATTATTTGTCATGAGGAATAACTGTCTCAGTTTATGCGTATAGATTGAGAATCATACTGTACAGATGTTGTGGAGTTTTTTGATTTGGAAGAAGAACTGTATGACCACAACACGGCAGTGAATACTAACTAAAAGGTGATAAACTGCATGGAAATAATATAGATGAAGCAGTTAGAATAATGATGTTGGACGAAAATGTACAATTAGAAAAATGTCTCATCAAGTAAGGCTGAAGAGAAAACAGAATTATTATCAAAATTATATTTTTCAGAATAAATAAGTCTTGGACTTTTAACACAATCTATATTGCGGAATAGATTAATTCTTTCAATCACCGTGTCTATAATTTTACACAGTAACTTCAAAGTGTAAGACTGATACGAGCAAATTAAGTAATACACAATCTTCTGTCGTACTTTCAATATTACCCGAGGGCTAAAGCAAGGAATGAGCTGACGCCAACGTTGTTTAATGTGGCACTGAAGCATCTGATACGGAAAATGTAAATAAGAAGATCGAATCTACTGATAAACAAATCAGTACAGCTGGTGGCCTATACGGACCAGATTAATATCTTAAGCCAAACAAGAAGGGATGCAGAAGAAATCCACAGAAAATGTAGAACGTGGTGAAATCCATGGGACTTAGAACAAATATAGGAGAAAACAAAAATAATGATGTAGATTAGGCAATGTCGTGGTCTCGAGATTCGTATATCTTGAAATGTGGCTGGAGAGGGATAGTAGCCAGGCTGGGGAAATACGAAGAAGAATACTGCTAGCCAAAACAGCGTATTATGCAATAACATAAAGTTCTGGTTCTAATAACAATTTTAAGTCCTACAATAACCTGGATGTCAACACAGGCAAACAGCATAGATGTCTTCGAGAGGAAGATCCTGAGAAGGATTGTACGCCCAATATATGAGAATAATATGTGGAGAACGAGATATAACCAGGAACTATACAGCTACTATAAGAAGCCAATGTTTTTAGAGTATATCAAGATCCAGAGATTGCAAAGGTCATGTGGTCGGGATGAAGGATTAAAGGATATCGAAGTAACTGCTTAACAAGAGAATGCAAGGTACGAGATCTAGGGGACGGCCGAGAGCAAGATTGGAAGACTAAACGGACAACGACGCCAGGGATATGCGTGGGTCTAGAAACTGGAGGAGGGTGACTATGGACAGAGAGGCTTGGAGGCGACAATTGAGGGAGGCCAGGGACCGTTATGTGTCTAAAGAGCCATTGAAGAGAGAGAATAGAAAACGTCAAAGTGTAACACATGCAATAAAACAGTATTTTTATTAGTTTTTACATATCTATTTTAGGTAAACGTAGTGTCATCCGTTGAAAAGTGTGTCTAACTTTATGTCTTTATAGCCAAAAACCATTTATAAATGGTAAGTAAAATGCGTGATTGAAAGGGGTTAAAACGAAGAGCACAAAAGCAATCAAATCAAAAATTCAAACATTTTGCGTTAATAAATATATCACAGTGCTAATTTACTTAGTTATTGTTTTTACTGTTATTAATTTTGTGTGACAGAAAAAGGAATTCTCTCTTAAATTGATCTTATTTGAAACCTTTTATACTCGATTCGTAAATAAATATTGAAATGAACAAAGGCAGAATGTTTTGAAATAATACTCAAGTAATTACTTCAACACATGTGTGTACGCACATCAAAGCGTATTTATTTGAAAATTTTCGTCTTTCGTCGGAAGACTTGGTTTGTCTAAGATAAAGCGTTATATGACAATATCAGCGCCTTTACGCGAACCTGGAGATCCAAGCCCGTAGGAGTTTTTTATGCAAATTGTGGATGTAGTCTCCAATAATTAGTTTGTCTTTTCATTCAATATTAATAAAGGAACTAATGTACAACATACCTATAAGTAGAAATCCTTCCTAATATTGGAAGGAATCTACTAGAAAAGTCGATGCTTCAATTTATTAGTAATAACGATATATCTACTTGTGAATCATATCGCTAAGGCATTATTTGATATTTCAGATGACAATGCTTAATGCATCGAAATTTCCTACAAAGTTTCCTAAAACAATATTGCAGAACAGAAATAATTAAGGAGTGAGCAGAAAAAAATCGCTTAATAAATACCATGGTTGCATATTTAGCATTAATTTAAAACATTAACAATTATAAAATGATACATTTGTTGACAGGTATTTGAAATGTTATAGAATTTTGAGAAAAAAGTCATGAACGTTTACATCAAGACATCTCAAGACAAGATGAGAGGTGATCATACTTGGAGACTTTAATGCCCGAATTGGAGACACTGTAATACCTGGTGAAAAAAATCGGTTTAATGAAGAAACTAGCAACGAAAGAGGAGAACAGCTAACTCAGTTATGGGCAGTTAAGGAACTGAGAATTAATAATACATTTTTTCCTAACAAGCCTCAACACAAATTCACATTTGAAAATACTCGAGGTCAAAAATCAGAATAGAATTCAAGATGACAGAGTTTTAACTTCCGCAAACGCTGGAACCAACTACAACGTTGCCCAACATACTGGTCAAAATAATCATGAAAACCCACCATTTCAAAAAACAAATACCCGTTAAAGTCAGCAAACTAAATATTGAATCACTTACAGTCCCATCAACAAACCTATTATACGAACAAAGGCTCAATAAGAAAATAGACAGTAACCGCATCTTAGAAACCGACAATGTTGAAACTACCTGGAAAAAAATAAAATGTAATATATTCAAAGCCACCGAAGAGGTTATGGGAAGAAGAATATCTAATAAATCTACCAAACCAAATACGAAATCATAGTTTACAGAGGAGGTCAAAGAACTTGCAAATAAAAAATGAAAGGCATACTTAAAATACAGATCTCGAAGCTTAATACTAGATGAATATAAAGCTGTAAGAAATACAGTCAATAACAAGATCAAATACATCAAGAGAGCGCATTAGGAAAAGTTCTCGGCAAACATGGAACATGACCTTTACGAAGGCCAGAAGAAGGTTAGGAACATGTTAAGAAACAGGAAAAACCAATCAACGAACAATAAACATAACGAAAATAGCACTAAATGAATAGGAGCAGCATTTTTGTGAACTCTACAGCGCTGACAACAACACAGCAAATCTTGTCACGGAACAGCATGACAACAGCAGTCGAGAACCATGTCTGGCGGAAGAGTGAAACGTACTCTTTAAGAAAATCATCGAGTGCTGGAGTATACCAACGTAATGGAAAGAAAGTGTCACCATTCCAGTGTTTAAGAAAGGAATTAAAAAAAGACCCTGTAAACAATCGGGGAATCACGCTATTAGGAGAGGAAGAAGAAATATCTTCTTATGGGTTAAGTGAAGAACAACAAGGCTTTTGGAAGACGTATAGACGCCATCTTTGCAATCAGACAGATCGTGGAAAAATCTATAGAATACAACAGAACAACATACATGTGTTTCATAGATCTTACGAATGCTTTTGACCGCATAGCACTTCCAGACGTTGTGAGACTCCTCAAGAAAAAAAATGTGCATCCAGATTTAAAAATCATTATAGTCGAGTTAAATACGGACAATTGGACCCAAATACAAGGGGAAGGCAGAAAGACACGGAATACCTATGCAGATAGGACTAAGACAAGGCGATAGCTTAAGCCATACTCTTTTGAATCTGATTATGGACAAACTAATATGAAGTAAAGAAAGTTGGAAGGTTGGGGAATAAAGAACGAAAGATAATCTGCTAGCAGACGATGCTGTGTAGATCTTGGAGGACGAGGACAATCTGCAGAGAACGCTCTTTCAATTTGAATAAACAGCTGCCAAGTACGACATGACAATATTGGTAGCAAAGTCTAAAGCACTATCCATATCGAAAGAGCCGACAAGATGCAAACTGGCGATATATAATAAACGGGTGGAGCAGGTCATGAGTTTTAAATATCTTGGCGTTAGCATCACAAATAGCAGAGACCTCCGCGAGGAAGTTAGGCTCAGACAACCAAAGTAGCCTTAATATCGGTGTATTTCCAAGATATAATATGGCAAAAGAAACACATGGCCATACAAAGTAAAATCCGTATATATAAGACCTGCGTAAGACCTGTTATGACTTACGCTGTGGAAACAAGGGCTGAAAACTCTATAACAGAAGGAATCATTCGAACAGCAGAGATGAGGACCATGCGATCCATAGAAGGTTACACCCTGAAGGACCATAAGAGAAGCGAAGACATCACAGAACTCTGCGGTGTCCAGAATACAGTCCGATCGTCCTGAACCAGACGTCGCGCATGGAGGGACCATGTTGAAGGGTGGATGACAACAGATTGCCGAAAATTGCAAGGGATGGTATCCCAACATCGAACAGACTTCCTGGACGCCCATCCACAAGGTGGTATCAAAACTGAAATCATCATCCCAGCCACGTCTCTAGGTTATAGAGTACAAGGCAAAGCCCTTAAAAAGAGGAAGAAGAAGACTTTTTTAATTCTTCGCAATCGATTTGCTTCGCAACCATATTGGTTCGCAACAACTTTAATGTTAAACATATAACTCTATATCTTCCTTGTGGTCATCCAGGATATGCGAGATTCTTACAGTTAAAGAGATTACAATTAAATGAATTATTTATCATTTAAAAAGAGACCTTTCTTCGAATACTCTGGAACAGCAAGCTTACACTAACAAATGTGTTCTACAAAATTACATGAAGCAGTACATGCCAGTGAAGATTCATAAATAAAAGAACCTCTAATTCTTTGTCTCATCTAGTCTAAAAACAATTTTGAGAAACATGCTCGTGAACCAAATCTTAGAGTAAGTCTTAACGTTGTATTATATCTAGCGTGAATTGTAAGCAACGAAATTATTATCTTTATGACAATTTTACATCTACCAAATCTTTGTTTCGATTTATTTACTCGTTAAACACAATAAGAAGAAATCGAGTCCTTAATTGAGAACTGCCAACTGAAGTACACTTGATGAAACCTGACTGTGGAATAAGTCATAAATACGTCATTCTTTGGTGTCGATGGCATTGTATTGAAAAAGCAATAAGTGTTACTCTAGTATTATCATTTGTATGGAAAATCCAAACATTACTGTGAATATGTTTAAAAGAAATGAAAATGATGCAAGTGACTTTCCAGCACTACATTGATCTGGTTATTATACTATGGGTCTATCGTGAAAAAGTTTAATCCAGATAAGCATTAACATTGTGTGAGTAAAATAAAACAATCAGAATTAAAATCAGAACAAAAAATTGATAGAAATTCAATCAAAAATTGTCAAAAAGGAGTTGTATTTCAATAATATGACATGATAAAACCGGATTTAAATTTAATTTAAAAAATTAGCTTATTAATAACACTTTAGGCTGCTCATGTCCAAAATAATAAAAATTAATAATTAATATTGAATAATTAAGAAAATACATGAAATGATGAAATGAAAACGTTAATATTTTTTAAGCGCACAATGATTTTACTCACCTTTCTAGACATCCATATTATTTTCTTATATTAAAAAAGAAAAGACCTTACTTCAATTTTCTTGTTTAAATTAATTTAATTTATAGAGACACAATACTTTTTTTTCAATTTTTGCAATACAGTACACAGTTAATAGCTACATAAATACAAATCTGATTTATCTCATCTAATATCTATTAAATTATCTAAATACGTTATTACCAAGCCGGTATTTTTGTAAAAAAAAATAATCAATCTGTGGTGATTGACAAGATACAATTTGCTTAAAAACTAATTTTATAAAGGGGGAAAACTATACATCAACATCTATCACAGCCATCGTCAAAGGGGGTTAGTAGTTTTTTAAACGTGTATATTTTTTCCAAGCTGTCAAGACACCTAAAGAAGAAGATAAATTTGTATCAATAAAAAGAAGAGTTTATTTTTAATAAGGAATTAAAAAATCACATCTAAAAGCAGTTAAAATTAAAACCAAAAATATTAATTAGTATTGAAGACTTGTTAGTAACTCATTCTTAATTCAACTTAATTAATTAGATTTTAATAAATAAAATTTACTTACAGTTGTTTGCCCATTTTCACACCAACTTCTATTATCATTTTTTTCATTATCCTTATGATTATCAGAAGATGGTTCGGTTTTACTTTTTGATCTTAAAGTATTTCGGAATCCAAAAATAAATTTCTTTCCAGATTTGGTTTCATTCGAATGCCCAGTAGAATCCGGATCTGGGGGTATTCCAATAGTATTAGCCTTATGAATCGCTATGGTGTTTCTATGAGGAGCTTTTGTGCTTATCGGTGAAGCTGGCGTTGATGCTGAAGAGGATCCACTTCTTCTTGATGGAGAATTTGGACACCACAACGACGACATGTCAACTCTATGGGGATTTGAAAATTTTGAGGGGGCAAAAAAAGAAAGGGGAAATTAAAAATAAATAAAAAAATAAATTTAAAATGGAAGAAAAATAAAAGCTAAATTAAGAAAATCCAAAAAAACCCAAACAGAAAAACAAAACAAAACGAAAAAAGGTTAGAATAAAGTTAGATTAAGTTAGAATTGGGATTAATAAAGAAAGCGTAGATTGTAATTTCATGATTTATTCTATTGAAAATTTGTAATTCATTAGCCAATATAATATTATTTATGTACAAACATACACTTCCTATTTACACGATTAAAAAAAATCAAATTAAATATAAAGTGGTAAGAATAAATATTACAACGAACAATTTTTCTTCGTCATTTTTTTGCGATTAAATGCTATAGTAAAGCTGTGTCCATAATTTGGCGAAATTAATTTTTGCTTGCTTTTTATTTATTTGGAATGCTTGGACACAGTGCTCGTTTTTTATTCAAACTCTTTTCATTCATCATTTCTAAGTAACACATAATATACAGAGAAGAAATACATTTTCCAATTAAATTTTCTTTTTATCATTTTTTTTTATTAGGCATTTAAAACTATTTTTTTAAAATAATTCTTTTTTGATTTTGATTATTTTTTTTTATTATTCGTGTGAAGTTTCCAAATTAAACTTCTTATACAAGACACAAATTACGATATTTATACATATTAAAAAGAAAAATATAGAAATTTAATTCGGAATAAATATGAACAGGAAAATTATTGCGATTTAATGCAAGTGTGACTATTATTTTTTTCTTCTTCTTTGTTTAAGATTTAGTGACAACAACACCCAATTTGCGACGCACAATATATTATAAAAATCATCCTCTCGGCTGAATATAAGTCGCATCACATAACAAAAATATTATCTGCTTATAAATACGTATAGTTTATGTATAATATATTGCGAATTTCGATCAACAGGTTGTTTCTTTATTTTTTATTCTTTATATAATTTTTTTTTCTAAAATTGTGTGGGAAAACTCGATAAACGCTATAGGCATGAAGCGTCGAAACCTAATTTATCTTTACATGATTTTTACTTTAATCAGAGTAATAGCTTTTTATTATTATTATAAGACTATTTTAATAGGCGAGTTGTTTTCATTTAAGCTTGAAAATTTGTTACTTTGCGTTTTTTGCTATAATTTTTAAGGGGAATCGCTATATTTATTTATTTTTTTATGGGGATGCTCTGAATTTAAGGTTATTTTTTATAGTAAATATTGCAATCACAATCTACCACTTTCTTAATTTTAAATTGAGCCCAAAAAATTCATAAAACTTTTTAGATTTCAAAAACTATGGTTTTATCAAAACTGCAATATCCACCTTAAACATTACCACTATTAACTTCACTAAAGCATAAGGGATCGAATACAAAACCCCCCACACATACAACGTTATATCATCGAAAGGGTTTGTGGCCAAAAGTAACACTCTGTGGACGGACATTAAGAAATTATCGGAAATATTCAGCGATGAGCAATAATTTTTTTTCTCTCAACTTTGCTTTTACACTATTTTGATTATGCGTTACTTTAATTCGCGATCCATCCATAATGTGTTAACATAACGACGCGTGTTGACAAAATTGTATTTACTTATGATTATTACTCGAGAATGATACGAGAAGTAAGGAGAGAAAAAGTGTTTTAAAAGACGTTAAAAGGTCACGATTTAAGTATCACAAGGTGGTTAGTAAAAATTTGAAAAAAAGTTTGTTAAGAAATGTATGGTTATAGAGATTTTATATCTTAAACTTATGGTGTTTTTATGTCTTTAGGATAAAAATTATATTAAAAATTATTCATTTATTAACAACTTGTTGATATGAGCAAACATTTTTGAAAATTTATCTTCCATATTTTTTTCAAATTAAAATTGTTTGAAACATGGGAGATTTTATGTTTAAAGATAAGCGTAGAAAACATTCTGTAGTAGAACTGATGATTATAACACATATACCAGGAAAACCACATGCAGCAGAGACTCGACCAGAAACATCCAAAACACAAAGAATGCTAGAAACTACAGAAATGAAAATAGTGCGTAGAATAGTTGGGAAAACGTTGACATCAATGATTGGGTCTTGGACAGAAAGAAGAAATGGAATGAGCATATCGACCGAATGACAGAAGAACGATTTGTGAAAATCACCATCAGGAGGAAGAAGCATTGGAAGGCGTAGAAAAGATGGAGCGACAACCTTCCAAATGATTAGGGGACAAAAAGTGAAGAAAAATAGGTAGTTATGCCTAAATACAGAAAGAAGAAGAAGATTGAGCAATCTATCAAAACAAGTATTGTTTTGATAGATTGCTCAATCTTGTAGTTCAAGATTATTATCCGAAATATCCCAAGATGAGTGAACTACGAAAAATTACATGTCAGAAAGTTATTTTCAGGACATTATGTCACATCATGGTATACCTATTGATATGAAAACGGATAACGGTTGACAGCTACGAATTTAGAAGACTTGCAAAGAAATATGACTTCAAAGTAGCAATCCTGAATACCAACAAGCTAATGGTCACGCAGAAAGTGCAGTTAAACTAATTCAGAAAATACTTAAGACAAACGACCACACACCATTAAAATGTGGAATATCTCCAGCTCAACTTTTGTATGGTAGATCATTGTGCGACCCACTCCCAAGAATTGAGGCCAAATTAAAACCTAAGGTACCAAATCATGCCATCATTAGACAAAAACTAAAAATAGAAAAGGAAGAATAAAAGAGGAATTACGACAAATGACATCATCAAATCAGTTCGAAAGAACACAAACCTTGAACTAGGCGATCGGGTATGGATAATAAATAAGAAGCGGGAAGGCATAGCATAAACGAAATAGCCGACGAACCAAGGTCATATATTGTAGAAACGGAAAAAGAAGATTTGAGAAGAAATAGAAGACATGTCCAAAGACTACCAGAAATCATTGAAGAGATCCCAGATGGTCCGAGCGAACCTTAATATTTGGAAGACGCCGAAACTAGGACACAGATAGATGAAGAAACGCGGAGAAGCGGACGTGAAAGAAGAATACCATTACTTGACTTTGTTAATTGAATTATAGTGGTCTCTATAAGGGGGGATGTAGCCGTGGTAGGTCTGTGTGTTAGGCAACTAAATGTGCAATATGTATAATAGAAGCTGTAACTTGTAACAGTGATCAATAAAGAAGTGTCGTTCATCACATACGACAACACATTGGCATATTGAAACACAAATTTAATCTTAAAATATACAACTCGACTCCAGACAGTTATCGACTTATAGCATTAAAGTAATCATGCGAATGTAAACATAGAGAGCATTGAAGAATTAGAATTGCTTATTTTTCCTTTAGATAGTAAAACTTTCACATAGGACACCTTGAATAACATAGACAGCAGCTTATTATAGAGATTGGATGTATTACTAAGATTAGGACGATGTGGCGTTAGGTAATAAATGATCAGATACAGAAAATTGTGCTTGTATTATTTCCTGAACATTCCTGTGATAGGAAAACATATTAACAGCTGGTTATACTTATTATATTCAAAGACACGGTCGCGTTTTACAGCATCCACTTCACAACCATCTTTATTATATGTTTTCCCCGCGCTTGTCATAATAGTATTCGGTAATGGTTTATACTAAGGATGACGATATCTTATTTATCGCGTCACCTCAAACATAGTGAATCTCGAGATGAAGACTTGAAAACTTTAAAGATTCTGAATAACTAATTAACCCCCTTTTTGATTATTAAATGGTTAGGAATACAGATGGATAGAATGGTTGACGGTTAGATAACCAAAATTGTCAAAAAATCCAGACGAATCAAACAAAGGCCAGCAAGTAAAACCCCCAAGGAAATAACATGAAAGTTGGACGTTAGCATCCCAGGAATGAGTCGTAGTTGGAACTCAATAACAGGACCATGTCCTAAATAAAGAGAAAGAAGAAGAAGAATACAGAAATGGAGAAATTTTACCTTGCTTCTCCAAGAAGCTGAGGATGATGAAATAGAAGGATAATAAAGATTTTTATAGCATGGATACAGTTTATGTATATCAATTGGAGATTTTAAATAACAACGTTGGTTGCCATAGCAACGAAACAAAAAACAATACAATCTAGCAAATATCGTCAAAAAATGCGCAACAATGAATAAAGAATTTTATTTGAAACATTTTTCTTTAAAACCACAAATGGCAAAGTCCTTGATCTATATTCCAGACATTTGACACACCTTGTATGTGCTGATTTGACCTAACGGTAGAAAAGATTTTGAAGCTAATTGCTGGTTCTTTAAGAAAGCTAGTATCCATGAAGTACTGTCTAAACTAATATTGAAATAGTATCTAGTAACATGTAGTAACATATTCTATTTCAAGCAGTTATCGAATTATACCCAGTGTTTTTGCTTAATTTGTCTATTTCAAAAAGCAGGTTGCATTCTGGTTAGATGTCAAAACTCCAGTCAACAGTGAAAGGAAACAAATATTTATTAGAAGTATTGGAGTGTATGCAATGTGAATGTGTTTCTGAGATATCTTTTATTCACAGAGAGAAGAGCTTTTTTGCAATTTTTTGACCTCATCTTGCCTTATGAAAGTCTATTTCTCATTTATACTGGTGCTAAAGTGGTTATGATTTGGATATTTGAATATTGCACCAACAAATTACTTGCTCTTAAAAGATTTGATTTAAGAATTGTTTGCTTTAGATATAAAAGCCAAGCATCCTGATACAAGAAAAATAAATTTTGAAATGATTATCATGTTGACATCAAAGACCGACGTTTCAGAAACGACTATTTAATTGCGTTTATGGCAGTTTTCCAGAGCAATTTGAATATACAACAACTGCAACAACTTTAGGAGCAAGAGATCCTCATCAATAGTGCGATGTGTGGTGATAGAAGTGTTACAAATGAATAGAATTTAGTTTGTCTTTTTAATATTGTTGGATATGCATATATTTATGATAAATTTACAAAATTGATGAATTTTTGATCGTTAACTGGTTCTCTTCAAGAACCAGTACAGTTAATTAGATTTAAACCTCGAAGCGCGCATATAGTGACTGATTTTCATAAGGATTAAAGTGTACACTTAGGCAACTATTTTCTAGACTTAATGTTCAACATTGATTAGACTGGACTTTATCGGAAATAGTTACCACCACGAACTTTTATTTCTCGTTAAACATGTTACGCTCAGTTTGTAGAGCTGCAAAAGATAGATTAATGCTTAAGGAATTTTAAACTTTTAACTGATGTTAGTGTATAATTTATGAACACCACGTTAAAAGCATAACATATTTTCACGAATTGAAACACAACCTTGGTGAAACAACAACACCATTGGATAACCAGCTTGTTTACTGGATTCCTAATCAAATATGTCTTTCAAAGTTTCTTATCTCAGTAATACATTCAGAGAAATATTGAAAGTTTTAGACGTTTTAGCTAAAAAGGGAGAGCGTAGCACGTGATGTGGGATTTTGGCGATGTTACAGCTAAATATCCCATGATCGGTCACTATTGAATGAAGACTTGGAAGGATTCTAAATACTAAAAAATAAATCGTGAATCGTCAAAGGAGGAAGAGAGTGAAAAAGAAACTGTAAGGGGATATGAAAATGGCAGATCTAAAGCGTAAATGTAAAAAGGAGCATAAAGAATTAAAGTTGGATATATTTTTATGTAATTTTGTAATCACATTTGTTAATAAAAGAACTTTATATTGTTAATTATTCGCCACTATTCATTTAGCGCCAATTTGCTTTGAGCCAGCTTTTATAGAAACAAAATTATCTTAATTAATTTAAATTTTTTTTAATATTTGTTAATTAAGCCGAACGATATTGGAACGATACGATTTGAATTAATCATTAATTAAGACATAGCGAAAATTTTAATCATCGATATCAAAACCTCTAAGGATTCAGGTTCGAGCAAGTTCTGTAAAAACCCATAAAAGGGAGTTGAGATTTACGAGATGGGTTATCTAACTATCGCCGCACTACGTGAATTTTTACTGCGCTGTAAACCTTTCCTGGTCAATAACGTTTCTATATGATGCGAACAATTTTCTAGGAGCAAATGGATCGTGTAGGAAATGTTCTCCTCTTTTGAGTGACGTGTAACATAAATCAATCGCTCGTTTGGACTGTGTTATATAAAATTGTTATTGTCAAGGAATGGGATTGAGATAGATTATTTTGGACAAATACTTTTTGCGTAAAACATGTGATCGACCATTGCTATTCATGGTTATACTGCACAAAACATAACCAGTTTAAATCTAATCATTATTTATAGATATATAGCAAAACTACCAGTATGTCAAAATTTTTAATTTGGTATTAATTTAGCTAACAGCTTGCTATGGACTCAAGTTAGGCAATTTTGAGGTATTCTAAAAACCTATTTCAATAATGAAATTATATTTCCTCTATCTCAAACGATTATGAAAATATTGGTGATGATTTTACAAATTTTATGGAAAGAGTTTATTACCGTCTTAGCACAGAGTGTGGATTATAGATGAAATCAGCAGGTTTGCACATAATACTGAAGAGTGTTTTGGACGAATATAAAAACCTTCATTACATCAAACATTAATTTTTGTGAAAAGAATCATGGGTTTAATTCTGTATTGGATATACGTTGCCTTGAATGAAATAACTAGCCAATTTAGCAGTTAATCACATTTATAACATCAGGATCAGATATTTCTCACTGCCCAATAATTAATTAAAATTAGTTTATTTCTGGATTTCTATTTTATATTAAAACATATACAAATATTCATTTCTTTGTCAGTACCAATGACAATCAATTCATAAATAATCTATCATTTATGAAAATGAAATTGTGATGTCACTTTCAGAAAAAGATATTTTTATTATGCAAAGTTCTATTTCATAAACAATTCCTAAGAGTAGTTTATTGCATTTACAATGAAAAACAGGAAATTAAAAAATTATGATTCAACATTCGATTACAAATTATACAAACTGTTGACTTTTTTGTCACAACATGGTTGATTGCAAATGAAAAAGTATATAAAAAACAAAGTATTAAATTTTTTTTTAGATTGTTCAAGTTAAAAAAAAACCTAAAGATATAAAAACACCATATTTCAACACAAAACACCCGAAATTAAACAATAACCCATCCAATAAAGACAATCACCAGATGAAAACGGTTAGTACATAGTAATATCGGGCAAATTGAGTGAGATCTTAGACCAATAAGCACTTCAGCGGCATTCACAGTTTTAATTTATTCATTTTAATTATTATTATTTTTATCGTTATACTCACGGGTCCTTTGTTAGTTTGTTTTGGTACGCGATGGGACTTTGAATCGCCTTCAGGAAATCTTTTTGCGCCTGGAGGATATCGTCTAAGGTATTCAGCCATTTCTCGTGCATTTCTGGTGCTGGTGTATTGCAAACAAATCCTTGCATGGGTTTATTTGGGTCCGTTGAAACTAACGTAAACGAATCCGAACTTGTTGAGGGATTTAAAGACATTTTATTTATCTAAAATAAAATAATGTCAGTACTTAAAAGATTTGGAAAATAAATTGATTTAAACATTTACTTGAAAATGTGCTTTGTAAATGTAGCGAGGACTAGTAAATTGCGTCTTTTTTCCTACAGCTTCTGAGAATATAATGCTTTGTTCAAAGAGAAATACTTGAAGTTCTTTATTTTTTCCTATACAAGGATTTGAAGATCCTGGGATGTCTGAACAAGTTAATGGACCGCTAAGTAATAATTGTCCTTGGGAGTTAATATTACCCTAAAGAAAATTTCAATTAATTTTTTCAAATTAAATAAATTAATAATCTTACATTGAATCCTTGTAATCGTCCAACGTCCATCATATTGTTGGCAGCTTGTGGGACGACGGTCATAACAACAACAGCTGCTCGAAGAGTTTCAATTTCCCCTGTTATTCCAGCTCTTTCCGTATATTTTAAAATATCCTTCAAAAGTAATTGGTACTTCATTATCCTTTGTACTGGTTTAATGAGAAGGTCGCAAATTTGTAATTTGTGTCCTAAGAAAATTCTCAATTCCTCAAAATAACTGTCTAAATATTCTGAAACTATGTGTTCAGAATATGGCTTATTTTTACAATAAACCACATACATCCTTAATTTTCTTTCAAAACGTTTAAATAATGGACCTAATTCGGATGGTGCTTCAACACATTGTTCCAAAGCTTCACAAAATTGGCTAAGAAAAAAATATAGTATTATAAATTTTAAATGGGTTAAGGCTTGTTGGTTTTAAGGCAAAGTTCATCTTTTTAATTAATAATACATCGCGTATAACATCAACAAATATTAAGAAGTTAAAATTAATTAATATTCTGGTAGAAAACGTCAAAAAGTTTTTATAGCTTAGATAATGAAGAACTTTTGGAGATGCTACCTAAAATAATACACTTAATAAGGTATTTATTATAATCAAGGGAGAAAATGGTTATTTATTTTAGTATCAATTGAGTGTTGGCTAATTTTTCTCAAATTTATGATACCTCACTTTATGAAAAAACCTTTTTCTCACTGCAAATAAGAATCATGACAATTTTTAGATCATCATCCGTGTTTTCTAATTCACTAGAGTGAGATTTTCTTAGATGAGCAGACATAAAAGTAGTCAAGGAAGACAAATTAATACAGAGTGGGGTTTGATTGCCCCACCCTGTATTAATTTGTGCATTATTTGAAACTATTAAGAGACAGAAATTTTATATAGAAGAGAAAACTTCACTTTTTGAATAGTGAGTCAGTCAAACCAAAAGTCAGTCCAAGTAGATGAAGCTCATTTCCTCAGCGATTATATTAATAAACATAACTTTCGCTATTACAACTTCTTCAATCGGCCGATATTACAGTTTGGTGTGCGATATCTTCGAATAGCATAATTGGCCTATACTTCTTTGAGAATGATGATGGCCATACAGTTAGATATGTTCGAATGCTGGAAACCTTTTTCATCCTAAGTGCCTAGGAATGAGAATACTCATTTCCAACAAGATGGAGCAACTTGTCATACGACTAGGGTTACATTGAACATTCTAAGAGAACTTTTTCCGAACCTAAGCTTTAAATTTATGTTTTGTAATCCTTTTTTTAATAGTTTTAAATAGTGCGGTTTGACTGCCCCACCCTGTACAAAGAGACGGTGACAATATAAAAGTGAATACATGTTCGTTATTGGAAGATGTCAAAGTAGATGAAGCTCATTTCCACCTCAGCGAATATATTAATAAACATAACTTTCGCTATTGGTCTACTGCAAACCCTCATTAACTTCACGAACAACCTCTTCATTCGGCCAAAATTACAGTTTGGTGTGCGATGTCTTCGAATAGCATAATTGGCCCATACTTCTTTGAGAATGATGATGGCCATACAGTTAGCAATATGTTCGAATGCTGAAACCTTCTCGTCTTAAGAGACGGCTAAACCTAAATGTATCTAGTTCTAGCTCTAGTTCTAATGTTAGTGTTAGCTTTAGATGTAGTTGTTCCGCAAAAATCTGAGCTTATGCTGCAAATGGGTTAAGTTAAATGAATTTAATACCGTCTAACGTCGAATGTGAATGTCATGAGGGAAACCTTCACAGAGCTGGGGAGAGCAGTAGGAAACGTGGGCCTGAAGATTAACGAAAGCAAGACAAAGGTGCTCATACAATCGAGAGGTAATAGAACGAGAAAGCAAAATCTAATGTTTGGAGATCGGAATTTTGATGTCGTAAAAGACTTTGTGTATCTTGGCACCACTATACCCAAAATCCGGGATGAAATGAGAGAAATACGCAGAAGAATTACCAGCGGAAATAAGACGTACTCGCTTCGGCGGTACATATACGTATTACACCTTTTCCAACCTTTTCAAGTCTGGAAACGTCCATAAACAAAGATACAGTTTTATACGACAAGTATAAGACCAGGTCTATGCTATGGCAGTGAAGTTTGAACGCTGTCACAAAAGGCCGAATCAAACCTCTATGCTTTCGAGAAAAAGATTCTGCGTAGAATCTACGGTCCAGTCAAAGAAGACGAACAATGCAAAATACGATATAACCATGAGCTATACAAACTCTTTAAGGAAGCTAGTGCTTCAACGTATATAAAGCTGCAAAGACTCAAATGGGAGGATCACATAGAAAGAATAGACGTTTCAAGAGTAGCCAAAAGAGTGCATCTGAAAGAACTTGAAGGCAGACGACCAGTGGGAAGACCAGGTGATCGCGTTAGCGAGAGGCAGACAGGTCTGGAGGAGGAAAATAAAGGAATAGAGTGCCATTGGATTGGTCGATTTAGTTTCGATTGGTCATTATGGACTCACAGTCTGCCACGTGTGTGTGTAACCGTGTTTACTGGAAGGTTAACATAGTTTCACCAACTCCATAAAGCTTTCAAAGAAGAAACTTTTTTATATTAATCGCTAAACAGTGTAAAATTAGTCACGTCGATACCAATCACATTTTTAACTGCAATAGCCTAGAATACTTCGAAAGAAGATAAAGAGAGTGTGACATTTTGGACACCGATGAGGTTATTTAAGTGATTAAGCGGGACGTACTTGCGAAAATTGCAGAAGCGTTCAATCTGTTAGAACTTTGGTCAGAACCAGAATCTATCCCTTTTTTAAAGAGAATCGGACATATTGAAAATCAAAACGTATGACAGACTAATGTATACCAAAACAAAGTGAAAGGTGCACAACACATTACTTTAGCGTTTCTGGTATATTCGTCGTAGTTGAATTATTTATTGAATTAAATGGAAGGTGAGCAGCGATTGGCGGATTATTCCTAGAGTGTCAACTATACGTCATGAGTTTCAACAGGCATCCGGGAGTTGTTTCTATGAATATCATCCATAAGTACACCTGCTTGGTCTTAATGGTTGTTCTGTCATCCATAAGCTTGTGATTACCTAGTCTAATGACTCGGTTAATGTTTTCTAAATTATCAGTGGAAGCAGATTTTCTGGAGCGATGAATCAAGGTTTATCTATATCGTTCGAATGACATGGTCTGGTATCAGCCTGGAGAATGCGTTCTGCCCGAAGGTTAACGTCTCCTGGTATGGATTGGGACCCTTGGGCTTATAGGAGTTCAAAAAGAGAAAACTTCAAAGAACTCTGTATGTCTTTGAACATTAGGTGGAATAAACAGCTTTTTTTGCAACAACTTTATGATGGTGATAATGCAACATGAAGAGTTTTTGAATGTTGGAAGTTTTTCACTGTACTTTAAGAAGAAAATAAATATGTTTGTGAACACTATTTCCCAAAGGATTACTTAGTAGGACAAATCAGAATTACTAAAGCAGCTAAAGCTTATACTAATGGCAAAGTAAAGGAAATCGAATCTTAATCCCTAGAGAAGTTAGTTGCAAATATTTAACATTATCGATTCTTATGTTAACCGTTTAGCATAAGTAAATATGCTGAAGACATTTTCAAAGAAATTTATTGTTATACAAAAAATGTTTGGAAGAATGAAATAGTAATGAATGAAGTCCAATGCTTTCTACTTTCTTACAGAAGCGTTGCTGATTGGATGGTCTCAAAATCATTATTAAGACAAGACTCTCACAAACCCGGTTGTTTTAAAAGCTTTTTGAACAGATAGTTATTTAGAGGGACTTTCATACCTTATTTTTAATTTATACCTTAGACTTACTACCTTTTATCAGGAAATGAAAATTGAATATCTTGTTTTTCTACTAGATAGAAATTTGTCCTCCACGTTTATGTGAAGTATAAGGATTTTCAGTCATAGTTCTTATTACATCACACCTTCTATTTATTAAATTAAAATTAAAATTATAATTTTTACCGTTTTGGGGTTGGTTTGATCTGCTCTGGAATGGGATTACATTGTGGTTGAGTTGATTTGGATTGGGTTGGCTTTCTTAGAAATTGAGTCACTTTGTGGTTAAGTCACTTTGAGGTTGGGTCATTTACTGCGGTACATTTTTTGCGGAGTTATCAACAAGTGAATAAATTTGCTTGTTCTGCAATGTGGGTCCCGAATAATAATTTTTTGTTAGATAAGTTGTAAACTAATTTGAAAATATTGACGCCACAATCTACGTCATTGATCTGATTAAGTCTGGTTGAGATTAGAAATGCGATTAGAAATTTTGAGAGGATTATTTGTATGAGGGACAACAGATATTACAAATTTCAAATGGTTGTAAGTTGTAATGAAGAAGTTAAAATGACCTACATATTATATTCTGTATACTCACAAATTGAAAGAGTAGAGAATTTGAACAATTGGGGACCACGAAACTCTAAAGCTTGATCGTGTTATTCATCTTTCAGGTGGTTTTCTTTTTATTAGAAACTATAACGAACAACGTTGTGAAGTAAGACATCATCACACAGTTTATTTCGTTGTATGAAAACGTCATCTAATGAGAAAATGCATTCCTTACGATACTATTTCGAAAAGCACATCATGTTATAAAGATTCACATTCTCCTGATTTAACGTATATTACTTCACATATGAACTGAATATGAATACAACGGTAATTAATGACATTGGTGTAACCGCGCTGCATAATATTGGATGTGAAATTTTCTCTAACTCTGCTGTAAACACTTGACTTCGTCAATAAAGACATAATTTACGATCCGGTGTTGCTACGTAACACGAGTCAATATCACGTTGCTGCTTCGTGTTCACTTCATAAAATTATTCCAACCATATCGATTTTTATAATATTGCTTGTAATCGGAGAGAACTAATTATATTATGTAAATTTGTAACAATCTGACAATATATTGTAAATAACTACACTATTTCATAACCAAATTAAGTTGTAAATAATAAAATATAATTACAAAGCGAGATGAAATTAATTTCTAAAAGGTAGGATAAATTTAAAATGCAATTTAGGCCCGGTATATTCATCTCCAAGTAAAGTGTCTGTTAACGTTTGGTTCTCAAAAGTAACTACTTGGAAGAATAAATAGCGTGAATATACCCGACTTGAATTAATTTTACCAGTAAATATAACCGACAAGTACTTACTTGATAGTTTACTGGCAGATGAATATACCGGATCTTAGACTCACGTTTAGATGACATAATTTTCTTTCTCAAGATAATCATAACTTTCAACTCAAAACAAATCCGGAGTCGGATTGAATAGTTCCTCAATCTTCGAGAGGAACTGACTTAAAAGTGAACATGCAAAATCAAAATAAATACGTTCCGAAAATCCAAAAAATAGGAACCTTAAATGTACGTGAACTAATACAACAACCAGGAAAACTCCAAATAATCGAATATGAGATGATGGCCCATAATTACGCCTCAACTTCCACGTAGAAGACAGTACTAGAAAATTTCTACACAACTCTGGACGCTGTGCTTGTTAATATATTTAACAAAAACATCACAATCACTTTAGGTGATTTTAATTCTAAAATAGGAGCTCCGCACATTGACCATCATATTAGACATGTCGTCGGAGGCTTTAGACTGGGAGAAAGGAAAGAAAGCGGGGACCGACTGCTAGATTTTTGTCATCAAAAAACAGTCTCTATAATGAATACGTATTTCCAGCACCATCCACGCAGACTCTACACATGGACGTCGCCTGATACCAGATTTAGAAATAAAATAGATTTTATATTAATCAACTCAAACACTCTGTAACAAATGTCAAAACGTTCCTGGGTGCAGACAGTGATCATTAACTGCTAATAATACTGCTCTGACTACGGTAAAAAAATAATCGCAGACCTTACACCGGACAGAAACGGATAGCAATAGAGGAATTAAAAACATTCAGAGACAGAATCTCATCAGTATTAACCAACATAAATTGCAATGATAATGTGGAAGAATCGTGGGTAAATATAAAGGAGAAATTGAACCAGTTAGACAATGTCGAAGACGTAATTGCATAATCTAAAAATATTCAGAAAAGATGCCGTAAAGACAAAGATAATTACATCTCCAATATATGCAAAGAGAATGCGCACCGAAACGAAACCTGTTTCGAAAGTCATGTTTTTCGCAAAAGATTTCAAACCACGCAGTTACACAATAGAATCTAAAGAATGCACTGTAGTAGGAGATATCGAAACAGTTTTGGACGTTTGGTAGAAATATTGTACAGAGGAGATAACTCTTAAGTGTTAATTAATGAGATGAAGCACGATCCGGACATTTTGCAAGCAGAGACGAGGTACAGGAGGAAATACCACATTAAAAAATAGCAAAATATCCAGGATGCGACGATATAATGGGAGAACTTTTGCAGAATCTGAGTCAGAATGACATTAAAATCTGAACTGAGCTATGTAATATGATTTGGAAACAAAGTCAATGGCTCTAGGATTGATACTAGCTCTACTTTCATTCCTATACATAAGAAGGGAAATGTTGCGAAATGTTGCAACTATCGTACCGTCTGCTTGATTTTGCACCCGAGTACGATTTTGCGTCGAATTATTAAATGGCGTTTGGAGTCTTATCTGGATCGACAGATCTCACACTAGCAAATGGATTTTGTAAAGACAAAACGGACCAGAGAATAAATCCTAAATTTAAGACAACTCCAAGAAAAATGTCGAGAATTCAATTTCCCAATGGTCAGCTATTTTTTGGATTACCAAAAGGCTATTCACTGCGTTAAGTGGAAAATGCTGTGGAGGGTTCTTCATGAGATGGAAGTGCATGAACTTAATTATCTCATAAGAAACCTCTACAACAGCAACTAAATTTAAGTGAGAATTGAGAACCGACACTCTTTAACTCTTTAAAACTGATAGAGGTGGTCGCCAAGGATGCATACTCTGTACATCATTAGAAAGGCATTGGACGAATGGAGTGAAGGGATCTCAATTGCGCACAAGAAGATTACCACCTTGAGATATGCAGACGATAGAACTTCGTTAGCTGCATCAGAAGAGAAAATGGTGAATCTTTTAAACCGAATTGAGTTGGAGAGTAATAAATTTGGCATTAAGATTAACGCAGAGAAAATCAAAATTGCAATTGATCGCTCTGATATTCTGTAACTGATGGATGTTATATATAGATTTTAAATCGTAGACCAGATCATGCACCTAGGCTATATTGATAGCACAGGTTCAAGTGAGAGTGACATACGAAGAAGAATAGGACTAGCTGAAAGAGCTGGCTCTATAGGACTGGCTCTATTGCAAAAAAGTACTAAAATGGGATTTCCAATACTTTTATTAATATTTGGATTCTTTAAGGTAATAAAAAATTTCTTACATAAAGTTGTCCATAAAGATCGAGAACAATTGAAATAACTCAAGCTTTTTTTGTATCCTCAAATAAAAAGATTTATGAAAGACATTGTATTCTCAAGTATTTTATCAATACCTCAACAATAAAAGTTTATAGTTTTCCCATAAAATCTAGTTCCAATTGGTTGTTGAAACAATGTATAACTTTACAAAAATATAGAGTATATCGGATATAAATTATGAAATGTAGCTTTAACTTCTTAAATTTGTTGGTGTTATTTATACGATTGCCTCAATTCTCAAAAAGATAAATAAAGTAAATAAAAATGACTTACTTATTATGAAATTCGTAAATCACTTCGATATTTCCAAACACAATCCTATCTTTACCCTCTTTTAGATCGTCTGGTATTGGGATTTCACAATCGGGATTCCGCATTTCCTTCATATAACCGTGCACAATCATTTCTAAGTCTTTCACGTAAGCTTTTTCGGTATCATATAATTCTTTCAACACAAATTGTCTTTTCTTTAAGTAAAATTCGACGGATTTGGAGGAAGAATCGGAGGCATTTTCGCCAGTTTTATCACTTTCGTCACCACTTAAAGTGATTCCGGCACCTTCACCGGAAATTCTCACACCCAATTCTTGTCCGCTTCCACCTTCGCCGCATTCCGTTAAAGCGTCCGCGGATTTTGTCTCACGCACCAATGAGTTTCTTTCTTGATTTTCAGAATGTTGTTCCTAATTAATAAAATTGATTTTAGAATTTATTTTTTATTCTTTATAAAATAAAAGAAAACACACAAAGAAATATTAAAAATAATAATAATCATGCGTTAAATAATACAGATAAAGTGCTAATATTCATTTTAAATATCTTATTGTTTAATTAAAACAGAAAACGTGGAACAAACTGGCTAATAATGTAATCTACGTTGTTTGTTGAGGGAAAATAAATTAAAATAAAACGCAAACTGTGCAAAAACTCGGGATAAAACACGAATCGCATGCTGGAACGTGACTACATAGATATAGGAACCGATATCGCACCATTCGCTCCTTAACAATCTGCTCAATTTCCGCTAGGTCAGCGGACGTTGCTCCTTCTATTGATTTCAATGTCAAGCTAGACACCTAAATATAAGTTTGTTCGATTAATTTTACATACAGAATTTAATCGAATTCGATTTGAAATTAATAGCGGTCACAAAATTTAAAATCAGTATCAATTATTTAATTGATCCTTTAAGACTTAGTTAAGATTAAATTATTTAAGAAGAGATTAAGGTAAAAAATCATTAATCTTAGATTTCAGATAAAACTAACGTATTGAAATTTAGATACTCTTTAAAATGGAGACAGTTTCAAAAGTACACTACCTCAAATGAAAAATTGGTTTCAGAGGAAAATGAATAAAGTACATTTTTTCTCATTAGTTGTCGTTTTTGCAAATTATCGAGATTTCTATAGGATTTGCTTTCTAAAATAAACATTTGTATTCGTCAACATATACGTAATTTATGGGTTCTTTATGTAAATAGTGATTATTGATTTGGATATGTGACGGCGAATGTACATAGTCGATAAATGTGTAAATCTATCAGGAAGTAGATTTATCTGCTTTTTTTTTAGCTACTCATACCGGTAACAATGTAACTTGACTTACTAAATTATGACTATAAATTGATAATATTTAAGTATTTTCGAAACACCTGCATAATTCATTATTAATATTTTGAAAAAAAAATAATTAAAATTAGTTGTTTAATCATAAGAAAGAATATCAAAACAAGTTCACTGTTTTAGTTATAGGTAATTGAAAAAAGTAATTGAAATCAGGTATGAGTATATGCGTTATAACTTTTTTTTTAATTGAAGTGCTCTGGTACATATCGACACTTTTAGCTAAATCGAATTTTTGTGTTTAATATAAATGGAAAATATCTATTATTAGATGGCATGAAACATCTGATTCTAAACATAGAAATTTTTTTCAAAATATAGGTTCATAAAATTTGGTGGGTTTCTTAATAAAAACAAACCAGATTTATATGAATAAAATAAAAAATAAGATTTTTTATCCACAGAAGATGTTGTGGAAGAAATTGACGATATTGAGGAATAATACTAACAATGTTGAGATATGTCAGGGGACAGCAACTAAAGATATCAAGGATGAAAATAATATATGATGACGAAGACGTTGAGAGACGCCAGGATAGTGTTGAGAGATATGTATTAGTGACTACATATTTGGAAAAATGTTAGGGATGGAGAATGTAGAGGCTGATTGGTTGCTAGACGTTGAACAAGACTAAGTAGAGTATAATAAGGAAGGTATTGAGAAATGTCAGGAAAACATTGCAAAATATATGCTACGCATAATGTTGATAGTTGACATAGACGACGATATGAGATGCCGTAGATAATGTTGAGGAAGGTCAGCAATGATAATAAAAGATATCAGAGACGATGTTGATAAATGTTGTGTTGTGGAAGTGGTCTTGACTGATATCAGAGACAATGTTTAGAGCTTCAAAGGTTAATGGTGATAGATGATTGCGAAGATTTTGGTAGAGGTCGGAATAGTATTAAGAGATGACAAGAATTATTTAGAAAGAATTAGTGGCAGTATAGACGATGTTGAAAATAACCAGCGGCGATTTTGGAGGAAGTTGAGGATGATGTTGGCGAGGATAGGATAGAGTTGAGAAATATTAGGATACATTGACAGGTTTTAGAAACAATTTGGATGCCATAAACGATATTTGACAATATTAGGGACGAGGTTGAGATATATCAGAAATAATGTTGAGGGATGTCAGGGATGATATTTAGAGATATCTAGGAAGGAAATTTCAGGAACTATATTGAGGATGTATGATCTACAGCATGATCATGTTATGGAATACCGCGGACAATGTTTATAGAAATATCAAGAAGGATGTAGATAGATGTTGGATATGATAACAATGAGGTGATTAAATGAAATCAGTTTATCTTAGAATTATATATCGGTTCTGATGCTGATCCAAACCAGCATAAGACGTTAGATTTGGCTTTAAAAGAAAACCAAAGTATTCTAAATCGAATCAAGCAGTATGTATAATTAATGACGAAAACTCAGTAAAAATGATAACAATTTACTATGTGTTTAAAGAATATGACTTGGGATTACTTCTGAATTTGATGACTTTATCAAGGTTTCTACATTGGAAAAATTGTGTCAATCATATAATCAAAATATAAGTAAAGGAGGCAAAAATGAATGAATTAGATGAAATTATTGATAATGTTGTGGAACATGTATTAATTAATGTTAATGTTAATTTGTTATAGGACGACAGATTTAATTACTGATTTAAACGATTAACGCAAATGAATACCTAACTGGGCTCATCGCACAATGTTAAAGTTAATTTATCTGTTCACAGAATTAGAAATTAACTACGATTTCGATAATTATAATATATTATGTATTGTTGTGAAACTATGTGTTAAAATGAATACACATACACCTTAAACGTTTACTTGCATGTTTAGAATTGATGAAATGATAACGAAATACAATTATATTTGTTAAAATAAATTGTAAAAAGTATTAAGAATACATGCAATATTCAAATTTTTTTTTAATAAACATTTAATGCGATTTTAAATTTGCTACCAGAAATATCTAGTGATATTTTAGGGTTATATAGTAACACAACTTTTATATTAGTTGTATTAGTTACAACTAAGTTGAGTTGTCATGAACTTTGTTGAGGACTCCCCTAGACATTGTTAAGGAAAGCTAGAGGCGATAATGAAACAGAATATTGAGAGATATCAGAAATCATGCTTACTGATGTGGACAATGTTGATAGATACTGAGGAGAGCAAGGGACGATATTTGAAGATATTTGGGATTATGGCGAAATACATCAGAGGTAATGTTTATTACTATCAAGTCGATGGTGATTAATAATTGAGAATTATCCCACCAGAATTATTTATTGGGAATTATCAGGTGCATTATAAGGTGCGAAATATCGTTAGTGATGTCGGGAGATATCAAGGATTATGTTTGGAAAAGTCATGAAAAATGTTCATAGATGAGGAGGAAGATTATAACGACATCAGGGGATAATAGGAAGGATGTTGAAAGGTGTTGGAGATAATGAATAGAGCCATTTTCTGGTTGGTTTGTCTGATCAGGACCTTTGCTTAGCGATATCAAAGAGGACGATTGATAGATGAAGTAGAGGGTATTGAGGGAGGCCATGATAGTATTGAGATATACTATAGACTAGGTTGAAAATAACGAACGAGAATGTTGGAAGGTATAATGAAGTTAAAAGATATTAGGAATGATGTTGTAAGATATTGATTGAGAGATATCAAGGAGGGTTTTGGTAGATAATGGGGAAGGTCCTAAAGTTAGCCAGGACAGTGTTGCACATCGATATGTTGTATCAATGTAGAGAGATGCCGTAGACAATGTCGAAGAATTATTTGTTGATATCAGGGACGATGTTTAGAAATATCAAGGAAGATGTTCATATATGATGGCGATAATGTTGAGAAAGATTGTGGCAATATCAGGAGATAATAGGGAGTATGTTGAAAGACGTTGGGGATACTGATTAGAGAAATTTTCAGATTTTAACATTGATTTAGTTAAAATGTTTTTAATAAATTTCTAGAAGCTAGTTCGATTACTTTAGAAATATGTTGGAGGTTTTCCTTCTAAACTAAAGAGTTCGTGTAACCGAATGCACAAAGTGAGAAAGAGGCAAACGAAAATTTCGGGAGAATATGCCAGGCAACTAACCAATACGATATCAAAATACTTATTTACTAACAGCAAAAATAAAGTATTTTTTACCAAGATCTAACTCTAATAACGGATAATCATTAAACAAATTGCACACTGTTTACTAGATCACGCAACTAATATCATATCAAACACTTAGGAAAAATAGAAGAAGCATACAATATGGTTAAAAGAAATGTTTTGAGTAAATGAAGATGACATCATAATCAGTAGTTGATTATTGACATGTCAAAAGCAGTGATTGATTTCTTTGAGCAGTAATCCAATATAAGATGGTATAAAGTAGCTATCATATAGCATTTTTGGTAATCTTGGTAAACACTTCACTTCAAGGAAATAAAAAACAGGAAAATACCACAGAAGAAACGTCTAATTGAAACAAAAGAGGTGATCTTTTATTTAAAAAGTGTACATTACTTGTAAACCGATTTGTTTTCCAAAATAATCCCATTTTGTTTCAAACTCGAAAGTTAGAAATACACCATAAAATGTCACAGGATTTTATTAAGGTAAATAACATTAGAGTCATTGGTTAAGATATACATAAAATCAATAGAGAACTCTCCGCATTGAGCTTTTCTGCAACACAACATATTTCTTGTCAGCAATATGTATATTATTTATATTATTTGTGTGTGAATTGACTTTTATAATATATCAAAGGAAAACGAGACTCTAAAATGATTTATATGCAAGCATTCAAAGTCTATCTTAAATTGTTACATTTGGGTTAATGGATATTTTCAAGGACAAATTTATCTATGATTCACGAAAAGGTATGTATCAAGAGGATATTAAAAATTGTTTTTGGCAACGATGCACAATCTAACCCAAACTGTTAATTTAATTAAGACTTATAATTAAGTAGTAAATTAACCAATAAGGCTCGGAAATTGTTGGTCACAAATTAGATAATTTGGAAATTAGTACTGGTAATCGCTTATCCCATCAATTAAATTCACCTCAACGAGTATGAAGAACCCTAAACACCGAAGTATGTCATACCTTGTACACCCAGTACAGGATTTCATAATAAATATTAAATTTAATTTATTAATTTATTGCTAATTATTCCGATTTTCCCAAAAAAACACCTCAATTAATCAACAATCAGATAAAAAAACTTAAAATAAACTTAAAATTTACAAAAAAGTTTAATGTACCTGATTATTTTACAATTTGGTTTAAAATTTAACTGACCATTACATTGCATGTGCTCATATATGATAACATTGAATTTTATATTATCTTATCTGATAAAGATATCAATTTAAGAAGTTAAAATACACGTAGACATGTAGTCCATTACACATAATATCAAAAAGCTATTTATATATATTTTTTGTAGTTTTTTTAAATTATCATTTACGTAATTTTCTTTTATGACGAACATGCGTAAAATGCATTTTGTAACTTCGGATTTATCTTGTATATTATTCCATTATAGTTTATTATCATGCACTATTTTTATATATCCTACAAATCTATTTTTCCAATGAAACTTAAATAATAAACTTATAGTCACTATTCGACGATAATAAATTTTGGAAATATTTTCCGATCAGAACGTTAAATAACTAATATTTAACAACGTTTAATAAATCAATAAAAAATCTTACCCTTTTTCCGGGTTGCTCTTCAATTGATGGAATACCGGGAACGCTAGGAGGCACTGCAGTAACTAAAATTGGCTCTTGTATCGGCTTCATAGGTGGTGGAAGTTCTACTTCTTCGTCAGCGTCGTCTCCACCGCCATTCGTCATCTCCGGTTGTCCTGCAGCGGCTGTTCTCGCCGTCACCGTAGTAGGTCCAAGCCTATCATCTTCCTCTTCGCCTTCGGATACGGATGGTTTGTTCCCCATATCTGGTGGTACCTAAATATTAAAAAAACAACTTTCTTTAACCACGACTTCAAATCGATTGTTAAGATTACCATAAATTAAAAATGTTTTATTACATTTTATCGGTATGAATCATTATTATCGTCCTTATCAATGTATTATTTATGTAACGCATTTAATTATCGCTTTCGCGAACTGACTTGGTAATAAATAATATTTCCGAGTACCTAATTATTGAAACGTAATTATTTTGAGGTTGCTGTAATTAACGCATAGTAACTGTGTCTAAATGGTTACGAATGATTAAGTAAAAATTCTTCGAAGCTCAATGAAATCTCGAAGCACTAATTGCCTAAAGGTATGTACGCTACGCCAATAAAGATAAATGTAGGATGGTTGATGGTACATAATCAGTCATAAATTGTTGAATAATTGTGACTTTCCATGGGAAGAGAAATCTTAAAACAAGGTCGACACAAGATTATTTATTATTTAGTGTTTATTGTTGTAGCCTATTTCCAAAGAATACATTAGAAATTTAGATTTTATTTAATATTGTATAAATAGATAAAGAAATCGATTATTTTAATATAAAGCATCTGGAGAGAAAGTATTTGAATTTGGATTAGATCAAAAAAATATTCATTTATTAAGTTATATAATATAATTGTATGAACAAGGAATCAATAGGATTTTAAACAATATCTAAGTAGTCATTTTTGATACAATTTTTCATTTGTTTGAAGTAAAGCGGTAATTTGTTTAAGTAACTTGTTGATCATGATAAGAAGGATGTATAATAGAAATGTTAGGTACTTGTATTGTTACATTTTAGTCACATCATATTTTTAAACGGCAATTTTATATATTAAATTTAATAAAATTTAATTAAAATTTTATATATAACGAAATTGAATTCTATAAAATAGAATTTTAATAGAAATTAATGTTGACCAAAACACATGATACAAAAAATATATAAAACAAAGAAAACTTTTTTGCAGTATTGATCGACACGTAATCATGACACGTATATTAATACATTAATCTGAAGTTTATTAATTCACTTACTTAATAAATTCAAATTTAATAATAAGCAGTGATTTTTTGGTTATGATGCAACATTATATTTATTACTCATAATTTTTGATACTTAGTATTATTTAATTTCGGTTAATTTTAGACAATGCAGGTAAGATAATAAACGTGAAATAATACAGGTAGTAATCAATATTTTTAATTTATTTTATGTACTTAATTTAAAATCCTGAGTTTATTATAGCACGTAGCTTCCCATTGAGAATTCTATGATGAGAACCGATAACATTCATTGATGAGTGAGATATAGCAAAAATGTTATTGTTATAGAAGATTATGTTTTCTCGACAAGACAATAACAGCTTTATTGAAAGGGGAATCATAATAAGTTAGCATCTCGTTAATAATTTGATAATCAAATATCCAAGTATTAATAACTTGTTTTGCATAATGCAATAATATTTGTTTCGAAAGTCTTCGAAAGAAGGTAAAACTCAAATAATGGGTTATAACGGTGTATATATATGTAGATTACAATGTGATATTTGTGGTGCTATTTGTATAAGAGAACTCGAACACTTTACTTAGGCTAAACTGTAGAGGAAGCGTTTTGTAAACCCAGAGCGTGATGTTTTTGTGGATATGAAATGAATCATCATGGTTCTGTCATTGTAAAAAAGGCTTTGCTCTCTAGTTTTGTTAATACTGCTTGTTGTAGTGGTGTAACTAATTATGTAGTTAGTTATTGGTGCAAGCTAATTTAAAATTACGTTTTTCATTTTTTATGGGATATTGTTTTTATTATTATTTTTATGTATTTATATTACTAAATTGCAGTAACATTAAATTTATTAAAATAATTGTTTGTGCTAAATCCCACTGCTAATCAGGTGTTGTTGAGTAACTTGGCACAGTAGCAGCTAATATAAATAAGGAAATTTAATGAATCAATTTTGTAGAAAATGGATTTTCAAGAACATATTGCAATGTAGCTTATGCTATAGGCATGTAGCATTAAATTAATTGTTTCGTTCTTTACTTTTTGGTTTTTGTTTTCTACTGTGTTTGTTTCTATGCTTATAATCTTTTGGAAATATTTTTTCCATCTATCTTTTATTTCTATTTTCTCCTTCAATGTTTCCCTTATGTCACCTTTAATTATTACCTTTAACGTTCTATAAAATAGTTTCTGGTTTTCTGCACTGCTGCTTTCTATTCTATCTCCGAAGTTTTCCCATTCTCTCCTTTTTGCTCCCGTTACAATTTATTTTCGCTTTTTCCCTTCTTTCCGTGCTTTTATATTTATCTTGATACAATATCTTACTTTTTCGGTCCACTATGCCGTTTGTTTCATTATTTTCTTTTTACTAACATCTACTTTAGCCACGTGAATTGTGATGTTTTTAAAGTGATTTTACGTATCTTCTAAAGTTTTCTCATCATCCGTTGCTTCCAGCATCTCCAACTTTTCTGTTGCTTTGACTTGATATTTTGCAGCAATTCCAAGGTCTCTTAATTTGGTCTCTTTGGATTTACCCTGTTAATTATCCCCATTCCCTCTACTTTCTTTCATTTCAGATGCAACGAAGTAGTGGTCCTCTAAACACCTTTGGATTACTCACATTTTTCAAATTTTCTTTTTGCACCAACACATCATCTTTTAATAACTTTTTTCTTTTGCTTACCATTTCTCTTGTGTATTTAGGTATGTATATTTCTGTGTTAGAAACTGGTATTTGTTATGTGGCTAGTCTATGAACAATACTAAATTCTCTTCGTGAGTTCCTTATATCTCTCTGTACCGCTCATCCCTTTTCCCTGTCCTACTATTGAAGTCTCCCAGCATCTCTTCCTTCGCCTTTTCTACAGATTCCGCTAGTTCCTCCAAAAATTTATTTCTCTTCTCCATTTTGTTAGGTATGGTAATTATTGTTTTTCTATAGTTTCTTTGTTTCATTTTCATGGATAGTATCTGATCAAGGCCTTCTATTATGTATGGACATATCAAGTTTTTTATATATAATACTACATGCTACTGCTGCGGCTGCTCTTAGTTCGTGCTTTATTCCGCTGTATATCGTTATGTGGTCGTTTCCTATGTATATTAATACTTGGCCCTCCTATTTAGTTTCGGGTAATGTCAATATAGGCACCCTGTGTCTTCAAATTCTTTCTTTAATTCTTTTTTTTATTTCATTCATGCATGTTGATCTTCTTCCGGTTTTGTTTTCTGATCTTTGTTTTAGTGTTATCCGTCCAAGCCATCTTACCGTTGAAAAGTATTTGCTTATTTCTATAACACCATTGCCGTATCGCTGATTTAGGCTACTGTCGTTGACGTTCTGCATATCTTGTTATTCTACATTTTTCCAAGTTAATTCCTATGATATTTTCTGCATTAATTCGTCGTCACTTTGTTTCGCTTTCTTTCTGGTCTCTTTAGTCTATTTTAATCCTTTATAATCCATTTTTGATAACTATATTATAAACAAAAACAAATCAAAATGCTGATCCTATTTACAAACATTCACTTGTTTACAAATATTCCCTGTGTATCAGTGGGAGAGATTAAAGCACGTTATGGCCCATGCATAGAGAAGCAAAGCCAACGACGTTGTTGGATAATTTGGTCAAACAGATGGGACTGCGCCATAAAACATCTTTTGAAGTTTATTATTAAAGCATTGTTCGAAATGTGGTGTTATCTTAGTGTTACTTTTAGACATAGAGTATTGTAAACCGTTTAAAGTAACAGAGGGTAATATTTGTTCTTCTTATAAAGTCAAACATCACAATATTACTGGGATTCCAAAAAAATGTTGGACAAATGGACTCAAAGTTCAGTTATGTCATAATCACAACTGTATACTTATAACCATGACTTTGAAGACAAAGTCACGAAGACATGAATACTTAATATAAATCAGAATTTGTTATATAACTAGATAGGTTGCTTCCAAACGCATAGAATTTTTATTTAACGTTTTAAAATGATGTATAGGAAGCAATAACTTAAGAATAATATAGGAAGAAGATTAATATCAATAAATTAGGAAAAAAAGTAGTGAACAAGAAACCATGTTGCGAGATAATTTCAACGTCAATATTCGAACGATGGTTATAAATAAAAACAATGATGAGATTTAATCAAAATGATCATAAATTAGCTTAAAAATAACACAACCTTGTGAACAATTCCTCATGATAATGCGTAACGTTCAATCTTTACTTAACATTCTTTACCTAAAGCTATTCAAGTTATTGTTAGTAAACATAATTGGTCTCACCCAATCTACCTGACATTACGCAATATCCATAATTAACATAACATCCTTTATTTCCTGCATTCCATTATTATTAATTTAATAATAGCAAAACATAGTTGTCTTAGAAATGAGCATAAATATCAGGCTTCAATCACTACAACTTAAAATATATGTAAATATTAATCGGAATTTGATATTAACGTGTGTAACATATAAATGAAACAACCAGAAGGTGGGATATTACCATTACACGTTAAAGGACAGGAATAACAGAAAAAATATAAATATATGCTTATATTATAACACAAAAGAGAAGGCCGACATTATCTATGTATGTTTTTGTTGACAATTCTTCAATTATTGCTTGAAGAATAGCATAAAATCTATATGCACATTAGAATTTTGCAAGTGTACTTTGACCATCTCTACATAATACCCAAAATAATGTATTTTTAATATGTTCTGTTATGATTGAAATATCTCATTAACCTACTTTCAATAGGAATATCTAGCAATGTTACCGGAACATGTAAAGTGTTTATACCATTTAGACAACGCATCTGCTCATTCATCCGAAAATATTTTACAAGCAGAACATGGAAAACTTAGATGTCTTTAGCTATAAACAATACTTTTTGTCGCAAAAAGGTTACAATAGTAAATTCGAAAAATTTTTAGAAGTCTCAGATTTTGTACTGCTCTAGAAAAGATGATGAAAAGAACAAGAGG